CCATTAATGATACAAAAAAACATTAGGGATGCAATGTGATAATTTCGCAAACGTCAGGGACGTTTTATGATAATAAGCCTTCTTATTAATTAAACCAATTTTTTAAACAATCTAAATATTTTATTTGTTTATGTCCACATGTCGTAAATTTGGCATGATCGTCAACAAAAAGTGTGGGCTGATCTAGCCACATCATCACTTGACGGATTATGTAATGGAGATGTAACATTGGACGACGTTTTAAACATTGAGGTCTAAAGTTACAATTGAGGGCAAACGTGACGAAAAAAGAAGAGGGGAAAAGAACATTGTTGTAAGATAAAGATGATCGTAATATTTCAATTTCTGTTATTATTATCAAGAGCTCCAAGTTTACTTTTGCTTTCATTTTTATTTTCGTCAATAACACATTTGCATTATCCACCCACAACATCCAGCAAGCATACATGGCAGCGTTTTTTGACATTCATTCAAGCCATTCCAAAAGAATTATCACTAAACCAAGAGTTAGTTGGTTAAATATGAGCAACCGGAAATCAAATCCAATCCGATTCCACAAGCAGAGTAAGGGAAAGAGGTTTTAAAAAAGTCATAAGGAAGTTAAGTTCTTGATTTCATTGGTAATGGTATCCCCACCTATTCGATGTCATTTTCCCCTACATATTTACAAAACAAAGGGGAACTAAACCTTAAAACAAAACGAAAGCTTGACTGCATGCACAACTGCTGCCAAAGTAGAATATCCATGAAGTAGTCCGAAATTAAATATAAACGTGTTCACGAGGGGCAAAGCACTGATACAATTTGGCCAAACTAACTTCAAATCTCATTGCAGACTCGTGGTAATCAGATTGCTACAGTCCAATTGACCATTCGAGTTCCCGGATCCTTTCTAAACCTAACCATGTAGTCTGCAAAATCATGCAGCAGGCAATCACTAACAAGTAAATGTGTGTGCATGCTTGTGCGCGTTTGTGTGTTTGTGTGTGTGAGAGAGAGGAAGAGAAAGAGTACCATGATAGGAGGTGCTGCACGGAGAAGACAAACAGAAAATCCTGAAAAGAATCCAAGGGGTCCTCTTGATTTCAGAATTTCAAGGGCACACTCCAGGGAGGTGCTAGCATGTCCACTTTTTATAGAGGCTACATGTATGTGTTTTGACGGCAAACTGCATGCTGCAGCAAAGAATGCTGAAGTAGCACTTGCACCTGAATAAAAAAGACAACTAAATTACATTACAAATAAATACGTGAGGAAAAGGAAAGAGGTTAAACTGAGACAAAATTGGATGTATTAAATTAAATACTGGGGCAAGAAACAAACTCTAGCACATAGCTAGATGGGTACCCCGAGGAATCGAACCCCAAACCACATGCCTGACCATGTAAAGGGTAGAAAAAGCTTCCCACATCTGCCATTTATTAACATGCAGTGTGCACAGATCAGTTGACAAATTACAATTATTACATGCTAGATAACCACGATACTGTTTAGGACCTCAAAAGAAACAATAATACTGCTTTGTTGGCTCATGAAGCATGAAATGCTAATGTTCTAAAATTTAATAGGTCTAGAAAGGACACTCATACGAGTTGGACTATATCCGTTTTGTTTTATACCTTGTTATGGAGAATGCTATCCTTTTTCTTTAACCATATCAAACAGAGTGAGACTCAACCAACAAAAATGTACTCTAACAATCAGAGCTATGGCAGAAGTCGGAACCTTATTATAAAGACTCAGCCTACTCTAACAAGGCATAAAACAATAAAAGAACTGCAAACGTTGGGTAGCATAAAATCAAACACCCAGGAAATAATCATAGTTAAATTTTGAAATCAGTTTTGGTAAAGATAATAATGCCTGGAAATTCAAGTACTCCAGGAAGAATTTTTACCCAATTGTGCTCTTCTTTTGTTAAAACCACAGGTTTCCCTGAGATAATGGAGGCTTGGATTATATGATGCGAGCATACCCATGTCGAACCCCATTTTTCTCTTCGCTAAAGGATTGCACATTAGTCGAATGTTTCTACTGGCAACTGCAGAGCAGCCAGTATGAAATATGTTCCTGCGATTCCAACGTTGTTGTTCAGTTTTTTAGGGTAATTTACTATGAAAACCACACGGTTTTGTCTTGGTGCAAGAAACAGAAAGCTAACTAGATGGGCCGGCGTTCAACTAAATTCAGCTGGATGGACAGACAAAAACCAACTTATTATCATCATCGTGATTCGTGTCTTTCTGCAGCAGCTGTTTAAAAATGTTTGTAACTCAAAATACATATTTTTATTTTTCTGTATTACATTCATCTATGAGTCTGCTCCTGTCTCCCTCTCAAGCTTGTTGCTGGATGATGATCTAGGAAGAGCCCAAAGTAGGGCTGTGCCTTGTTAGCTTTTTTCTTTTCTGGCTTCGGCCTGCCTTGTAACCAAAAAAAAAAGAAAAGAGATTTGAAAATGCAATAGTAAATAATGAGAATATGGAGCATTGGATTTCAAATGTCCGCCTTCTCACACTCCAATACCTTTGCCTATCTAGAACACTTTTGACAGTTGATACTATCAGCCTATAAGTTGGTTCGATTCAGTTTAGTTCTGATGTACAGTTGATACTA